AACTCTGTATGATATTGGAATGTCCTAATACATTTGTTCAAACCCATAGAATGTGAATGTATCAAACCCACTAAGAGTGAACCCTGATGTAAACTGTGGACTCTGGGTGATAATGACGCATCAGTATAGGTTCGGCGATTGTAATAAATGTACCACTCTGCCGGAGGACGTTGGTATGGGGAAGGCTATATATGAGCTGGAGCAAGGAATATATGGGAAATTGGTGTCCCTTCTGCTTAATTTTGCTGTGAACCTGAAACTTGAGAAAATGGACATATTTAAAAAAAAAAAAGTACGTGGCCCAAGTTGTTGAAATGGTTTCAACTCACTTGTGTGAGTAGAACATTGAGAAACATTACTTGACATCAGGATTGGCCTGGGAAAGCTTGAATCAGGAAAGCCTAAGCCAAAACGTTAGGCAGTGTTTCCCAAATTGGAGTTCCATATTCTGTGTTTAAATAAAATTAAGCGTGTTTCTTTATTGAGAGACTGAGTACTTTCACAGCTCACATGTGTACTGTGACTCTCTAGGGTGAATAGCATATGTAGTTACTTCCTAAGATTTGATCCAGAACCAATTCTTCATGCCATGTCTTTATCACGAATGAGCCTAAGTCCAGATGAATGCCAGTGGTAACCCTGTAGAGCAGCTTTAAATAGTCAAATATTTCCCCTCAGAACTAATCCAACATAATTTAGTTATCTTATTTTGCTGATTTCAAACCACTAGAATCCAACTTCCATGACAATAGTGGTTTTTGTCTGTTTTATTCTCTATTGTGTTCTCAATGTCCATAGCAGTGCCTGGCATATAGCAGCAGGTGCTCAATAAATATTTGTGGAAAGAATGAATGAATGAGCAAATGAATAAAAACAATTCTTGTTCTGTCCAGAAAGTCCTCTGTGTAAAGGGCAGAAATTTTAGTACAAGGTAATTATACATTCTGATCCATGTGGTTTATATTTCTGGGCTATTTGTGTAATATTTATTCTTGCTGCTGTTTTCCCGAAGCATTTCTTCCTGAATGGACACATTGAAGGAGTTAAGAAAATGAAGGAAGAGTGAGGGCCTTGGGTTCTGACCCCACTCTACTGGTGATGATGGTAACTAACATTTGTGTTGGAATTCTTCCAAAAGTTATTGCATTTGGCTCTCAAAACACCTGGGAGGCACGTGTCATTACCTTCATTTTCAGGTGGACAGGGAGGCTGAGAGACACTCTCCCAATGCCACTCTGGAGATATTAGATCAGCCTTGATCTAAGCCTTGGTCTCACTTTGTCAAAGTCCATGTTCATTCCATGGCCCCGGGCTGTCTCTCCAGCTGACCGTGTGCTGGGAAACCATTGCCCCTTTCTTGGTTCCCACATCTGAAAAATGCCCACGGGATTTCTTAGGTTCCTTCCAACTTTACATTCTATGACTCTGTGAGCCTTTTTTTTTTTTTTTTTCCCCTCCATCTAAATTGCTAAACATCCTACTCTTGATCCCAGGGTCATGAGTTTAAGCCCCATATTGAGCATGGCGGCTACTTTAATAATAAGTAAATAAATAAATAAATAAATAAATAAATAAAGTACTATGGCTTTAAAAAGTACTATAATAATATTTTATTTCTACTTGCAATTACACAGCTCTTTTAAAATCTGATTGAGGTGCTAAAGAAAATCAAAGAAATTATGAAAATTTTCTTTCTTTTTAAGTAATGCCTGCAAACAATACCTTACCAAAGTGAATTGGTTTTGTTAAGTGTAGTATCCTCAGAAAGGTCTTCGTTATTAAAAAAGAAAAAAATGCCATGAGAGGATTTGTCTCTGAGCTTATTTCCAAACAAAAAATATGGAGAAAATATAGCAATGTTTCTAGAAATGAAGCTATTTAGAACAGAATAAAAATAAATAAATATGAAATATTTTCTAAATAAATAAATAAATAAATAAATAAATAAACCTATCCAGAAAGAAAAGGCAAAGCCTGGTCCTCACTGTGTTTTTTTACCTGATAAATTCCCTTTGTATGCAAAACATTTGCATTATTCACATATCCTTGTCTGTTTAAGGCAAGGCCATAAAACTACTATTGGGCTACACAGCCAACAGAGCAAGTGAGTTGTTTGTGTTTCTTCTCCACAGGGCATTTTGTTTGGTCTCAAAAATTTTTTTGTGGCCATATAGAAATAATCTACTTTTGGTGTCATGTGAAAAAACTTTACACAGAAAAATCTGTACTTATACATTCTTTTTTGGGATTTTATTGTGCTAAAAAGTAGAATTCACACCGGCCAAAAAAAAAAAACAACCCCAAACATGCAAAATATTTTTGTGCACACACCTCGAACACACTACATTCCACCATTGAAGATTTTGAAATCTTAAAATTAAAAAAAATCCCAAAGCAAGAGTACCTGGGTTGAAAAGTTAACATTATACAAGCTAGATTCCTAACACAAACACTGCAGACACAAGTCACTCCATTGCAAAAAGTTAATGTTTATAAGGCTTAAATAAATGTCAACAATGAAGAGACAAAAACCGTAGATCCAAAGTGTACTCCCCACCAGGAAGTATTAAAAATTGATGTTGTAGTACATCTGTGATATTAACTTCAAATAGATACCACCTTAGCCCCAAAGTTACGCCAAACTCACAAACACCGAGGGAACCATATTCAAAACTACCTTCTTTTTCTGCTACCTTTAAAATGGTTTTATATTTGTTTTGTGTGTTTGGTAAATAAGAGTCCCTCAGAATCTACACTAGCTCTGAGATGTAGAAAAACCGATTCGATCAATGACCTCCTCTGAATGATGAAGTTGTCCTCTGAAATGCGTCACTTTTCTGTTTAATGATCATGTACTTTGTAGTGATCACGTGTGTGTGTGTGTGTGTGTGTGTGTGTGTGTGTGTGTCTGTGTCTGCGCGTGCACGTGTAAACCCTTTTAAAAAACTCTAAACTCTAGGGAACATTTTTTTTCCTTTTCTCGAGACCAGTCCCTAAAAATGTGTTGTTTTTGTTTTTGTTTTTGTTTTTTAAAGAAAACCTGCCTAGAGCTTTTCCGTACAGTCAGCAACCTCCTTATCCCTGTATATTTGAACTTTCCCAAAATAACAGAAAGCTCCAAGGTACTTGTTGGCAACTCCTGAAAAATCTCCAGTCACTCCCAACAGATTTGACTGTCTGGTACTTTTTAGATTCACTTTCTTAAGGCACCACAGAAGAAAAGGAGGGCCCTGTGGTAGGAGCATGTTCACGTCCCTCCTGGTGCTCCCTCGGGGACATGGCTTCACCCTTGGGAAAAAACACGGGCCTCCTGCTAGGGATGCATCCTGCCGTTTCTCTCTCCCTCAGGGAGAAGGGACACACACTGGTAGAAAGGCAGTCCCCTGGAAGCCTCAGTTCTCAGAAGAAAAAGTGTTCTAATGCATTCTCATAAAACATGCAAAGAGAAAATCCAAAACAGGAGAGAGGAGAAAGTAGCAGTGAGTTGGAAGAGTGCCTAAAGATTGTGTGCAAGTGAGAAACACCCGGTCAAACTGCCTACTTCAATGCCTTGTTCAATGAGCGTAATAGTGCATCCTAAAGGGAAAGAGAAGGTACCGTTTCTAACCTCAGAAACTAACAAGCTTCTCTCTTTATCACCCAACAGCTTTAAAATGCTTACTTAACTCAAACTATCACCAACATTTGAAAGAAGTTTGAAGACTCAAGACTATTTCAATAAACATTTCAATAATTGCTAGATCAACTCAGCTCCTACATTTTCAAAACGTCGGCCAAAATGGCAAATGAGTACGTATCGGTCCATCTTTCCCTTCCAGCAGTCAACACAACTGTACATAATCAGTGTGCTGCACTTAAAGGAACATTTGTGAAGGACGGCGCAGCTCGGAGGTGGGAGGTCCTACCAACACTTGCGTTTTTACTGAGGCTGGCAGAACGCAAGGTTCCTCCTCCCCATCCAGAGTTTGGGAGTGTTCTCAGCCCATCCTGCCATCCTGTTTCAGACACTGTCTCTCCCTTCTTGTCCACAGGTCATTAAGCCTGTTGGGGGAAGGGGTGCTGAGGAAGACTTCATAAGTGAGCAGTCACGGGATTGGGAGTGAAATACATGCACAAGACCGAACATTCATGCTCACGAACTTCATGAAGCAAAACAAAGGCTCGACACAACCCGGAGTCGCTTTAAAAACCTCCTCTCACACACAGCAGAGCAAAACTGGAAAAACCCAATTACACTTTCCCATCAAAATTCAAAAAAGAGCTAAACCTTCTGGGGACATAGGATGTTTTAGACGGAAAGAAGGTGGCTGAAGGGCCCTTCTTTTCTCAGCTGTCTGCAGCATGAGCCAGAGCCCTTCCTGAAGCCCTGTCAGCTGCCCAGCGGCTCCCAGAAAACACCTCTTAGACGCCTGGACTCCCTCAGCACGCTCGACTCTGCTCAAGGTCTGAAGAAGTCTGATGCTCAGAGGTAGCTCCATGACGCTAGTAATAGAATAACACTTCCTTTTTTGGTGAGGAAAGCCCAATCGGTCTTAGCTAACAAGCCCTCAGCTATGGCTCTAAAAATACCCCGCAGCAAGCACTGCTTGGCACTTCATTCTGTTTGCCAGAGAACTCCACAGAACATTTCAGATTCTCCATAACTGCTCTGAGCTCTGTCCCTGCTCTAGTGACCTCGGGAAAGTGTATCACTTCAAGAAGATGACTTTTTGTTTTTCACTTTAGAGTTCTTGGAATTCTGTCCCGAACGTCTGAATTACAACTCCAGCCTTGGATTAATTACTAGCTTGGTTTAGGAATCTTCGTTTGGCTTCCAGTCTGAACTATGCAAATACACGATCTGTGTGCAGAAGGAAGGACTAAAATTACACTTCAAAAGGGCTCAGTAGCTTCCTGTCTTCCCCCTTTCCCCCCAAAAAGAAACATCAGCCTCCTTGAATCCTTTGTCGCCAGCAGCAGGAGCAGCTCCCGGCCTGTCCGCGTCAGACGCTCCGGGCTCTCTACACATTGATGGCGTGTGCGTGCTTCTTGCACAGGGGTTTGTCCTTCTTGGAGTAGAATGGCTGCCCCTCCAGATTCACGTGGCAGACCTGGGGACAGAGAACAGACGGCCATGAGGCAGGCCCTGTCTCTCCTCACTACAGATTCTTAATGACGTAAGCAGCGTAGATATTCGAATTATGGCATATTTAAGGCTTCCAAAGAGGAACGTGGAACTAAATTCCAATTAAATTAAATGGCAGACACAAAATTTGCAAGATGAAGATGACTGACCAATGCTATCCAAAATTTACAAAAGGGGCACCTGGGTGGCCCAGTTGGTTAAACTTCTGGCTTCAGCTCTGATCATGATCTCATGGTTTGTGAGTTCAAGCCCCACGTCGGGCTCTGTGCTGACAGCTCAGAGCCTGGAGCCTGCTTTGGATTTTGTGTTTCCCCTCTCTCTCTGCCTCTCCCCTGCTCACACTCTGTCTCTCTCTCTCTCTCAAAAATAAATAAATAAAATGTTTTTAATTTACAACCAGTAAATTACAAACCAGTATAGAATCATGAGTCAATATCCACAGAGTTGATTAACATCCAAGGAAATAGCATTAGTAAATTAGCAAACACATCAAAGAAGATGATCCTCATCAATAAGTAAAGGAAAAATAAATCAAAATCTCCATGAGAGACCACTAGGTATCTATTAATCTAACGAGATAAAACAAACAAACCAACAAAACCTCCCCAATCACTTGCTACCATTAATCTTACATGACTGTAGCCAAAAAGTAAAAAAAAAAAAAAAAAAAAGAAGTATCTATCAACAGTCAACGATGCCAAAAGGGAATCAAGCCTACTTGTGCACTGCTAGGGACACAGCTCGGTGAATCAGCTCAGTCTTCTGTAGGGAATGTGGCAGCGGCACTGAAAAGGAGCCATAAAGATGTGCCTGCCTGCCTGGTACCACTGGGGAGGAGTTTATCTTATAGAAACTATTGCACAGAACAACGTGTGCTGAAGCAAAAATTCAAAACCACTAAAACATCTCTCTATAGGGAGGTAACTAAGTAAATTCTTTTGGTACATTTTCCAATGGAATGCCATCATGCAAAAGATAAATCAAATATGGAAAAGTGTATGCAGGGAGATATTATATGAAAAAAGGCAAAATTATACATCCACATGATGACAACATATGAGGGCAGTTTGAAGATGGAGACATCACAGAAAGAAGAAAGCTAAGTAACATTTGTTGAGGCTACTATGGGCCAAGCAGGAGACCCGACACTCTATATACATCATCTCATTTAATCACAAAATCTTTTGGGAAGGTATAACTTTTTCTCATTCCACAAGTGAAGAACTGTGGCTCAGAGCCAAGTGTCTTGCTTAAGTCACAGACCTAGCAAGTTATGGAGTTGGGACTCCATGTCTAGATCTGCAAGACTCCAGTTTCAAGCTCGTTTTCCCTACACCTCACAGCAAAGAGGAGTTATACTTACCTGAAATTGTTCTGGGCTTATGGACTTGTATAGAGGTAGCCCTCCATGTTTGTTGGACTAGTCGTATATACAGGCTGGCCCTGGGTGGGCAATACGCCAATATCAGAGTCAGCTGGGAGGTCACATTGGCTGGGATGGGCCCCAGTGTCATAGAGGTCACTGAACATTTCAGATGGGGAGAAGAATTGGGGACCACATTCAGGACACTGACATCAGAAGGAGAAGTGTAGGTGCAGTTCCCACACAGAATGCATGAGGATAGAGAAATCACCGTCTTGAGGTGAGTGTAGGTCAGTGAGCATGTGGCCACTCCAAGACAGTTGGAAAGAAAAGTGGCATCACGGTGGGCCCACGTGCAAGTCCCTAATGACCCAGTTGAGGATGTTACACTTGGGATCACACAGGGCTGCCAATGGGCCCCAGAAACCAATGACCTAGAAAAGTGACTGAAAATATCCCAGGTGGGTACAGTGATATTGAGTGTAACCACGCTCTTATGTGACCTCAAGCTACTGGTGAAGACAAGCCCAAAATCCAACAGTGAGGTTGGTTTCAGGGAAGACAGAAAGGCAGCTCTGGAGTGAGTTCTCACAGAGCTGCCTGTCAACATCTGGGGTTCCTGTTCTAGTCTGGGACAATGCTGGCTACTTGTGAGAACTTTGATACAAGTTGGAGAGCGTGTTGGGGACTAAAGACCAAGAAGTGAGGAAGGGCCAGAGCTTCAGGGGTGACTCATTGGTAAGAGATGGAGCCGAGGGCAGAAAACATCATAGAGAGGTCATGCTTATTGTCTTGGGCTAGGAGACCCTGTATGGGATACAAGGTGGCTTCGTGGTGGAGATCCCCAGACTACTCAGCAGAGGGGCACAGCAGGGATGGTCCAACCCCCAGGCTCCATGGTCAAGTGGCATCAGGGCCTGACTGGGAAGGAGTGGGAGTCATGGACAGTGCTGGAAGGCAATGAAATGGGCCAGCTACAACAGCTCCTATGAGGGCTTCCTACAAAAGTTACACCACTGTCCCCCCCCGCCTCCCCGATACCCACACCAGTGAGGAAGGTCTAGAAACCCAACAAGACTTAGAGGAAAAGAGGGGCCACAGTAAGACACCTTTGTCCCACATCCTTTCCATTGGAACTCAAGTGCCAAAGCCAGACAGGAGCTTAACCTTCATCCTGACCCACACAGCCCTTCTCAGCCATCATTTTATATGCATGGGACTTTAGAGGGGCTGTCTTCTCCTGTTCTTTAATTGCTCATATACGTCAGCTTTGCTTTCCTTTCAAGATTCCAAACTCCTTGAAGGTGGAGACTTGTTCTGGGATACTCTTGTAGTCCCCAAGCTCAAGAAATATTTGGTAAATTGAATTAGTCTAAAGTTATGTGCTCTCCTGAGATCTAACTGATAGGAAAACAGCATATCAGCTGGGAGAGCTAGTTTTTGATCTTCTTTTCTTACTAGGTTTTTTTTTTTAAGTTATAGGAAAATATACGCTCATCAAAGTTGATTTGGAAATATAAAGTGGTGGATAAAGGACCCCCTCCCCACAAAAGACCCTCACAGTTTTCCAATCAAAAGATAGCTTTCCAAAACTTAAAACCAAAACCGTGCTTCACTTCGATATATCTAAACAGGGCAGTGAGCGCCACACAGGACCACTTTGGAGGAAGATGTAATGATTCACCACACTGATTCTCCAAAGAACAGGATGAGCCTGGCTTCTTTGGGTGGATTCTTTGCGCACTGCGATGGGTCTCTCACACCTGACTGGGATTTATTTGCAATCTCAACCTGAACAACCCCATGCTTTACTGCTTCTTCTGGTCTCTCTCTGGGATTTATGCCACTGTGACCCTCAGCCAAACATAGTGGGCTTGAGAGAGGAGACCCATGCTCACCCCTCCATGTGACACAGACCTCTTGTTATCCTGCCCTCAGAGAATAGGCCTTCTGTGCCACTGTCTGCCCTGGACCTTCTCCAAGTCACTTGGATTCTTCTGGAAGTTGGGTAACCAGACTTGCAGGCAGCATCTTAGGATAAGACAAGCCATGGCTTGAATATAAGGGTCAGACAGCTCTATGTGCCTTGCTGAGCCATGGCTCTGTAGGGGACAACCCAAAAGCCAATATATTCACATTGTTACTCCTTTGCAGAGGGGAGGACCTGATGTATTTAAAGGACCCTAAAAGGCAAGGAGAAAATCTATTCCAAAAGCTGGAAAATCAGTGTTTAGATTGAATTGTGTGTTTCCTTCCCCAAATTCATACGCTGAAGTCCTTACTTCCAGTACCTTAAATCTACCCAGTGCAGGGACACAGTGGTGACCTTATTTGGAAGTAGGATCTTTGCAGATGTAATTAAGATGTAAGTTAAATGAGGTCATATTGGAGTAAGGCGGGCCCTTAATCCAATATGACCAGTGTCCTTATAAGAAAACGAGAAGCGTATAGAGAGACACACACACAGAGGAGAACGCCATGTGAGGACACAGGCACACAGAAGGAAGGCGGCCGTGTGACCGTGGAGGCAGAGACAGAAGTTCCATAGCTGTAATCAAGAAACGTCAGAGATTGCTGGCAACCACCAGAAGCCGGGAGAGAGAACGTGGCCCTTGAATTTGCATTTCTAGCCTCTGGAACTGTGAGAGAATACATTTCAGCTGTTGAAGCCATCAGATTTTGGTATGTTGTTGCAGCTGCCCTAGCAAACAAACACACCGAGTCAACACAGTGCACCCCATGAATGGAGGCGTGGAAACCTGAAGCGCATTGCAGTAAACTTCATGGCGAGGGTTGTCCTATCTCCTCAGTCTATAAAAATTGCTCAAGTTTAAACTGCATGGATATTTCATACATTACCACACTTTACCTTGGCAGCTCTGGTTTTAAAAAAAAGAAAAGAAAAAAGAAAGTAGTAGCAGCACATTAATTTTCCCAAATAAAGTTCAGGCAATTGCAGACTCACGTGACAGGACTTTCTCAGGGCTGAATATTCCCTAAATCTAAGGCAGAGTCTAAATGTCGGTGACTTCTTGCTGTGTCTCCTCCCCAACCTGAAGCCCTCGGAAGGAAAGTGCCAATCTCATGGGAAAAATGACCTGGCTGTTTGGCAGAAATAAATGGCACGTGGTTAATAGTTAATCTAGGGTTTATCTCCTGGCAACTACATATCAAGAACAAGACCATTTAGGAAAATAAAATGATACTCAGCCCCAATTCCTAAAGATTCTCTCAAAAAAAGCCTTATCTCAGCTTTTCATAGGATGAGTCAACAAGCTACAATCTGGTGTTTCACGGCGAAAATTTGGGGGAAAACCCTTAAATCACTTCATCATATCTAACACATCTTATAACCATAGGAAACCAACCATCTCTATTTTAACTCAGGCATCATTCACTGCTCCCAAGTATTTTATTTATTTGTTTGTTTATTTATTTATCTATTTTTGAGGGAGAGAGAGAGACAGAGCATGAGCAGGGGAGGGGCAGAAAGAGAGGGAGACACAGAATCCAGAGCAGGCTCCAGACTCTGAGCTGTCAGCACAGAGCCTGACACGGGGCTCGAACTCACGTCGTTGCTCCCAACTGTTGAGAGCACTGCTGGTGAGGCCAGGTGCTGGTCTGACAGACCCTGGGAGGACACTCTGCTGTCCTTATGAGATGGAGAGTAACAAAGCCACATTGCTTTATGCATACTTATTAGTAATAAAACTTTGCCTGACTGTGACATATCAAGGCATCACGGTACTTGCCAGCTTTTAAAAATGACCAGAGTATCAGAAGGCCAGAGTTGAAAGGGGTGTAGAGGGTTGGTCACCTGGCCCCACTAGGTCCCTCCTGCCCCTTCTCAGAAAGTGAGAACCCCAGGCTAAAAACATACCGCACAGATGAAGCAGGTGTCATGCCAGGTGTGGCCCAGGGCTTCAATAAACTTGTCTCCAGCCTCCACAGGGAAATCACAGCCATGACACTTGGTGCTGAACAGATTGACGTAGTCTGAAATGAAAGGCAGAGTGAGGACCTGGCATCCAGGCAGGCTGGGAGAAGCATCCTGGACGCACTGACCCAATGCCAGGAGAACACCCCATATCACTGAACTGGGGCAGTGGGTACAACCGAACTGGTTACTTGTCATCCTGCAGACAAATGTTTAGTTACATGATTGGGTTTCTTTCCTTTTCAATACTTTGTCATGGTGTTGTATGGATTCAGGCTTAGTTGCCACTCTTGGCTGGTTTGATTTGCAAACACTTTCTGGATCTGTCACTCACTTTCTGCAGGGTGATTTTCTCCTCTGTCTCTGTCAGCTTTTATAGCCTAAACCAACCAATCCCAAAAAAGAAAAAAAAAAATCATATTTCCCAATAGCTATGCTTAGTTTGGAAGAAGGAGAGCCCTTAACATTTTTAGGAATTATAGTATGTTCTTTGGTTGGAAATTCTTCTGTCATTGGGCATTTGTGTTGATAACGAATTTTCACTACTAGAAACAATATTTGAACTACTATGTTAAGACATGGCCCCCATCCCCCACCCCAGCCAAAGAGATAATAATACCAAGTGTTATTTGTATAATGCTTTGCAGCCTACCAAGCATTCTCACATAGATAGTATTATTTACTAGTATCTCAATGTCATGGTCTATGTATAAGTTTGTATTAGCTTTCTTTCCACCCTCAACACAGTGCTTGACACACAAATCCATACCCAACACATACGTGTTGAATGAATGCATGAATAGATGAACCAGTGAATCAGTAAGTCAATGAATAAACTTAATCTTCAAAAATCATCCCTCAGAGATGGAACTATAATCATTTTTTGTTTTGTTTTGTTCTGTGGATGAGGAAACTGAGGCTCACCAGAGTCACACAGCTGAGACACAGTGGGCCCATCCTTCTCCAACTCAGGAGCTGCCTGTCTGGGTCCCAGGGGCAGCTGTTCCACTGCACTCACTGTAGAACTCTTCCAGATTCTTTTAGAGAAGTTAGATGCCTTTTACAAAGCCTTCATTCCCCTAGAGGTACACTTGTCTCTCCACAGTTGGCTTTTCATTTTATCATTTTTCTGCTCAGTTCTCCTTGGGGACAGTGAGCCTGTTTGCCATTGTAGGCCACATGCGGAGAGGCAGTGAGCCACGGGGTGTTATGAACTTGGGTTCTTTTTGTTTTGAGAGAGAGAGAGAGACAGAGTACGAGTGGTAAAGAGGCAGAGAGAGAGGGAGACACAGAATCTGAAGCGGCCTCTAGGCTCTGAGCTGTCAGTACAGAACCCGATGTGGGTCTCAAACTCGTGAACCGCGAGATCATGTCCTAAGCCAAAGTTGGACATTTAACCGACTGAGCCACCCAGGCGCCCCATGAACTTGGGTTCTGAAGAAAGAAAGCACTGAGCCCAAGTCTCAGATCTATTCAGGAATTGTTCATACCTGGGACAAACCACCCAACTCCTCAGTGTCTCATCTTTCAGTACCTAAGTTGTGGAGTGGTTGTACAGATTAAATAAGATAATGCATGTGAATGTACTTGGCACACTCAGAAATAGTGGCTCTTACTGTGAATGTCTTTATAAATGATAAAAGGAGGGAAGGAAACGTGATCCAAGTGTCTATTATGCACCGGTCCGATATTAGTGCTTTCCTAAGTTTCTTGGTGAATCTTCACAGCAGGTCTGTGAAGAAGTATTATTCCCATTTTAAAGATGAGGAAACTGGCCATAGAGGTTCCAGCACACAAGCAGTAGGAGCCTGATGGACTCCAAAGTTCATTCTCTTTCCACAACTTTATGCGGTCTTCAGTTATCTATTTGCCATTGAGCTTTGATAAGTTATATCTCTTGCGTATTTTTTCCAATGTATGGTTTTCCCTTTGGGGTTTAATTACAGTTTGTCATGCAAATGTCGTTATAAATATCACAGTCTGTTAATCCTATCTCTGACAGGATTCTTAATTTGTTTGGTGGGCAGAAATCTATCACCTCACCAGAGCAAAGAAAACATTATTTTGCTTCCTTTACAAAGTTACAGTTTACAGTTGACTCTGTGCTCTGTAAGAACTAGTGTGGGTGAGAAACAGGATCATAGGCTACCCCATCTCCACGGGAGGGCCAGCCCTGCACCCCCACTTCTGACTTCTCTCTCATTACTCCCAGCCTCCAGATGCCCTGGGCTCTGTCTCTCTCCTTTACCTCATCATGCCTGTGTATGAACCAGGCCCTGGGCTTGGAAAACCATCCCCACTTTGTCTACCTTGGATCTCTACAATCCTTTGAGCCAGGCCTTCCTCCTGGGAAGCCTTCATCCTCTACCTCAACCAAGAGAGACAAGATGACCTTCCTGGGGGGCTTCTCTTGGCTTCCCTGCCTTCTCAATCCATTCATTCATCCATTCAATTATTATCGCTGGACTATCCATTTATGTTATGGCATATCACATGATGATGTATCTGCTTGAGGTTTTTGAGGACAAAGACCCATTCCCAATGCACAGTGTCTTTCATAGGAAATGGCACATACTTGATGGATAAATGATGAATTGAAAAACAAAAGAAATGTTTGGAAAACCTTATTAAATACTGGTTCCTTTTCTTGTTGTGCAGCCTAAGATTAAGCTCTTAAAATGGAACATCTAGTCTTGCCTACTGATCGGTTTTTCTGTTTTATATTTGATTCTGTATGGTCTTAAGAAGTGCCTGCCACTTTGTTTTAAAATTTGGTAGCACAAGTCTTGGCCCTAATACGTTTTTTTGAAGTTAATATATTTCTCATTTATCCTAAAACAATGAGAATATAATTGGAAGTAAGTTTGTGCATGGGTCTTTCCCACCAGGAGCATAATCTAGCTCCTCATTTATTTATTTCTTACTTTATTTCTCCTATTAGGTCTTTATAATTTTCTTTGACTTACTTTCTTATGCCCCAAGTTGAATTCATACCCTGTATTTAATGGATTTTATTGCTATTGTAAAAGGGTTTCCATCCACCAAATCACAGTTGCTCTCTGTTGAAAAAGGGCTTAGCACTTTCCTAGAGCAGTCGTTCTCAAACAGAATCATCTCGAGTGTTCACTAAAACACAGATTACTGGGCTCCACCCTTCAGAGTTTCTGATTCAGCAGACCTGGGGCGAGACCCGAAGATCTGCATTTCTCTGATCCTGATACTGCTGGTCTTGGGATCATACCTCAATTCTCAAACCTAACTGAATATAGGATCATCTGTGTGGGGGGAGAGTGATGAAATTCTGCATCTGTTGGTCTGAGAATTGATCTTTCTAGTACCTTTATTTTTTTAATTTTTAATTTTTTTAGTGTTTATTTTTGAGAGAAAGAGCATGAGCAGGGGAGGGGAAGGGAAAGAGGGAGACACAGAATCCGAAGCAGGCTCCACGCTCTGAGCTGTCAGCACAGAGCCCGACACGGGGCTCGAACCCACGAACCGTGAGATCGTGACCTGAGCCACAGTCAGACACTTGACCGACTGAGCCACCCAGGTGTTCTTTATATCTTTAAAGTTTCCCAAGTGGTTGTGACACCCCACCAGTCTGGGTCACTGCTCCAGGGCAGGCCCCTCCATGAAGGGCTGACCTTCCTACCTCTCTTACTTACGTGCAAGGTATCATATATAAAAGTGTCAGCTCATCATGGCAATTGATGAAATCTTTTTGAGTCTAGATCCTATCATTCTGGCATTCTCCCTTCTGTGTCTTCTTCCAAGTTGCTGATAAAAATGAGGACAAGAGATACCACCTCACCCTCATTAGGATGGCAGCTACCAAAAAAACACAGCAAAATTTGCAAGTGTAGGCAAAGATGGAGTGAAATTGGAACTCTGTGCACTGTTGGGATTGTAAAAGGGTGCATCTAGTATGAAAGTTCCTGAAAGCCTCAGAAAATGAAATACCACATGACCCAGCAATCCTACCTCTGGGTATATATCCCCAAAGAATTGAAAACAGGGTCTTTTAGGGGCACCTGGGTGGCTCAGTCCGTTCAGCGTCTGACTCTTGACTTCTCATGGCTTGTGAGTTCAAGCCCCACATCAGGCTCTGTATTGACAGCACAGGACCTTCTTGGGATTCTCTCTCTCCCTCTCTCTGCCCCTCACCCACGTTCTCTCTCTCTCTCTCAAAATAAATAAAGAAATAAACTTAAAAAACAAGAAAACAGGATCTATGGACACCCATGTTCATAGCAGCATTATTCACAATAGCCAAAAAATGGAAGCAACCCAAATGTCCATCAGGTTTTTTTTGCCGGGGGGTGGGGGCTGGTTACTATGGAGAGGGACAGTGGTGATAGTGGAAATCTGTCGTTCTTTTGCAAGCCTCAGACACAAATTATGGAAGTTGCAATGTTCTCAGCCAATGAATAATAGCAATTTGTATTGACACAACTGCACACTTATCCATTATCTACTAATTATCTAACAATTATCACCACGCACTCATAAGAAAGGAAATGACATCATTATCTGTTCCCTTTTACAGATATGGAAACTGAGGCACAGAATGACTCAGTAACTAAGTCATTCAATTAATAAGAGCTAGAAAGAGAACTTGCCAGTATACAAGAACCCAAGAAATTTCTTTTCTAACTTATTGTCAGGGGAAAATAGTTTTAGTCTACTTTGCTTTTCCCCTTGAGGAACTGGAATGTTTTCTCCTTTCTGATTTTAAAGTAAACTAACTTACTGTGTTTCTCTTTCTGCCCTCAAATTGGCTGCCCAGTCACTGTTGCTCTGTTATTCTTCACAATCAGCCTGCTTGCTTTTCCCTTTTCTGCTTGGTGTCGATTTTCTAGTTCTGTTGTATTAACCTTCATGTCCCCGTTACCTTTGTTGGAACCTGCCTCAAACCCTCTTCTGAAAAAGGCAGGCTATGCATAAATGAGTGAGTGAGTGAGTGGCTGATTAGCCAGGACAGCAAATCTCTAGTAGAGTGCTTTGTCTTCAGAATTTACAATACTTTACTCCAAGTTTAAGGTAAAATGTAGCATTTGGGGAAAAGAGAAACTCTGAATTCAGACAGGGAGATCATAGGACTCTGGAAGAACATGAGAGGGGCAGGGAAAGGGGCTTTCACGTGTTTGATGCTTTACACACTTTCTCAGGTTAAATCCTCACTACAACTCATGAGGCAGGTGTTCATATGCCCCCTTTTTACAGATGGGGAAAGTGAGGCTCAGAGAAGTTTAATAACTCACTCAGGGTTACACAGCCCGTCCAAGGTGGAACCTGGGACAGAACCTAATTCGAAGTCCAGAGCCAAAGCCTTTTCAGACTCGACCTTGTGGTCTCCAGATCAAAATCATCTGAAGGGTTCCCAAGTGGTTACAAGATGCCACCTGTGATCCACATATTTGGTGCAGGGAAGGGAGCAAAGATTGAATGTGGGGGGGAAAAAAGAAGCTATAGACCCGACTCCCAGAAAACCATGATTCTGCCATTTGGAGCCTCCTGATGGTCCCATGTGAACAGACAAAGGCAGGAGTTCCCCGTACCTGCCCCATTCTCCCACACCACCAGGCCTCCCCGCAGCACAGTGGTCCTACCTTTCTCGCAGTAGGGCTCCCCATCTTCCATGTGGAAGAGGCTATTCCCAAAGGGCTTTTTGCAGGCTGCGCAGACAAAGCAGGTGGTGTGCCATGTCTGTCTCAGGGCATGCATCACTTCCTGGGGGAAAGAGCCTCAGCTCAGGTCAGAAAGCTCCCGGGGAGAGAGGAAGCTGGGCCTGCTCTCCCTCACCAGGCCCTGGCTACTGCTGGAGCATCCCAAAGAGGAGCAGGACTAAGTGGGCCTTGGACGTGCTCAGGAAAGGCCTGGGAGTGGAGGGGTGAGGGCAGTGGCAGAGGAGTTCCTGCTCATGCAGCACTTGCTGGGTACCAGGTTCTGTGTCAGAATCATCTGGAAGGTGGTTACCTAAGCTGTGATTCTTAACCCTCCCATCAAAGCTGGTGAGGAAGTACTGCTTATGGCTGCCATTTTCCCAAAGGAGCATGGGGGGGGGGG